TACTTTAAAGAATGTTTTTAAAATTTAATGAATATACCTTATCCCCTCAACCTCTTAAAAACAAGTGATACTTAAAAGGAAGAAGAATGGAAGAATAAACAACAATGAAAGATAAAAAAAATTGGAAGAAAGAGAGTGAATAGAATATTGAAGTGAATATAAATAAATGCTTCTTGGGCAGTGTTTTTTATTGGAATGGAAATTTTTTTTGAGCGGTGTAATTTCTTGAAACCATCTAGTGGTTTAAGACTTTTCTTTTAGTAGTTTTACTTAAGATGGTACTTTGGGTACAACAAAAAAATGAATATATCCTATCACCCTTCTCATTTCTATGAAATTACAATCTTACCCAAAAAAAGTAAGGTCCTACCATTTCGTGCCAAAAAAGTGTGCTGCCAAATATATTTTCCGTTTGAAATTTAATGTTTCTAGCCGTTTCTGCCATCATAATCAATTAATCAATTATTAAGTGTACGCGGTACTAGTAAAAATATCTGAAGTTGACATGTGCAGCACGTGATTTCCTTTAATTTGTCTTCTATTTATGAATTATATACTTTCATTTTTATTCTTCGATGAAAATTAGGTATGCCATCGCTTTCTAAATAATTTAATTCAATACATTCTATAGGATATTTAGTACAATATTGTTTTTGGTGGTGACATATATAAGGAGCTATTTTTTTTACAATGATTACCGATTGGTATCAACAAATTGACTGAATGATTAGCCAATGATCATTTTTTCAAGAAAAACATAGTGTTGCATAGGTAAAATAAACTTTTACATATAATAACGTAATTTTTAAAATAAACTTTTATCAATTCAGTTCATTTACCACTTCGATTTGTGCTAGTTGACAGAAAATTTAACTCTTTTATATGACCAAAAGACTTGGCTTTGGCTATTGAATTTATAGCATCTATATCTCTTCTTCTTCTTTTTTTGTCATATTTAAAGGAGAATACACTAGATGTTGTTTCTTTAATGTTTTCATCCCCAGAGGATGTTGTCGAAATTTGAGCTATGACTATTATTAAGCATTGTGTTGCTCGTATTAATCGACGAAAAACTTTGAAAACAATTTGATAATATAGTATAACTAAAGTAACTTTAAATTAATTGAAATTTCAAAGTTTCACTTAAAAATATCTTCCTTAAATATAAAGTTATTCTCTTTTGTATAGTAATGAGCAATGGTGGAGCCACGTACGCTTGAGGGGTGCCGACCGACACCCCTTCGTTAAAAGTTACATTGTGCAGCTAGATAAAATTATTTTTTGTCGACAGTCTTTGATTTCTCCGCAATTTAAACTTCTTTGTATTTTGACACATGTTAATCGAAAAACTGATTCCGCCACGAATAATGAGTTGGAGACTTCAAATATATATGTTTTGTTTCAACAAGTTCGGTTTTCTACGCCAACCTAAAATTATTAACACAATACAATATTCTTTTCGTCTACGATGTACAGTGGCCGAAGCCTGAAATTTTATTAAGGATGTCCAAAAATAATGATGTGTGAAAGTCAAAATAAAACAAAAAAATATTATACTCCATTATTTAGGGTTTGAACCCGAACTCATTCATTCAAATGGACACCCATTACCACTACACGAAAGATATAGCTTTTGTTAAGGTTGTCCAACTTTAAATATATATCTTTTAAATATAGAATTTGACATATATATACAATATAATTTTCCGACGAAAGGCGGTGGTTATAGCTACGTCACTAACGATTACTCCTGATCTTCTCAATACAAGTGAGAAATATTTTTGTTATAGGTATAAAAATTATTAAAGAGAGTGGACGATAATTTGAAGTGAAGTGGGGCTAATTAGTAAAGTTAGTGGGGAAAATATATCATAATAGTGACACCTTTGTATGCCCACAAGGCCACAAATATATTGTCCACTTTAATATTTTTATTTGGGAAAAGGGACGGATTTACCCCCGAACTTTAATAAATGGTATGTATATGCCCTTCTTTATACTTTGCGTCCACATAAGCTCCTGCCGTCCAATTATAGGTACACATATACCCCTCTCACTAACGGACCCCTATTTTTTTACACGTGTCTTAATCCTAGTGAACTACCCGTTTGACCACTTTTTTTAACCCATAACCCAACTATCCGCCCCATAACCCAATACCCACCCAATTTCCTCTAAAATGAATCATAATTAAAATACCCAAATTAATACTATTGGTCCCCACCCGATTTTTGAATTGTGTAACTTAAATGAAAAACGTGTCATATAATGTATTAACGTGTTTTTAAAATTTTGTGATAAGTTGAAATTAAAGAATTATTTATTCATATTAATGCTTAAAAAAATATGGTGGAAAATTATACGAAACAACAAAAATGAAGTGAAAGAATAGAGTAATTTCTCATCGCCAAAATGGAAATTTACAGAACAATTATATTCATTTTCATTGATATTTCACAATTGTCAATATTCGAGTAAAAGAGAATATAATTTCTCACTATTTTCCATTTCTGTACAATATTGAATATCCTCGAAAAAAAGACAATTTTACCCCAGCAGAAAGTTGAGATTTACAGTAATACCCCTAGAAATCATCTTCTCCGTTGTTACGCCGGACACTGTAATTACTCTTCCAAATCCGGCGATACTGCAGTTTCCGATGCTTCCTCATAACTCTGGA